TATATTTTGTTATTTTGTTGTTTCTCTTCAACGTGACTTTACCGAAAAAACTAAGAATATATATCAAAATCTGTTTGCGGTCCATTGTGGGCCATTGCCGAAAATTATAACTATTTTATTCAGCTGTGAGACAACTGTTCATGACAGGGCATGATAGGTAGGGCGATGCCATTGCCTAGTGGTAGCGCATTCACTGCTTTTTGTCGAGTTACATGGTTCGAATCCAGTAGCCGTCCTAATTATTACAGCGAGTGTAATAACTATAATGTGCCATTTGCTTTATAGTAGACATTAAAGATCTCCTGACGTAATAAGAAAGAGTAGGTCATTGCGTGCCATAGTCAGGGTCCAAATTTGCCAAACTGGAAAATTGCCCGTAAATTGCTCAATTGGGATTATATAGAGAGATTATCACCTCCGACTCGCAGACTGATGCACCAGGGTCATTCAAATGAGCTTATCTGTTCTCACCTGGCTAAACAAAATAAACTTGAACTTAACAACCAGATGTATAGCATGGCTAATGTAAAAAAGTCACATGTAATTTTGAAAGCTTCTTTCGTGAAAATTGCATCCCACAACGCTGTACAATTTGTAAAACGTGCCGTTTTCAAACGGAGGCATGGGAAACCACATACAAGCCAGAAGAGAGCCAGAACCGGTGCCAACAATTGCCCAAGCTATGCGGTCTGCCAAAATAATTCCGTTGGTTTGGCAAATTTGGACCATGACGCCGGCACACAATGAACTATTAGCGTGAAAGGCGTGATGGGTCCTTCAATGTCCACTGTGAAAGCAGACGGCACGTAATATTTTTAAAGGTTTTTTTTTTTAACCCACTATTAATCAGCGAGGCTGCTGGATTTGAAGCTTGAACCTTAGTAAAAAGCGTCGAGTGCACTTCCATTCGGCAATGTCACCGCCTCGTGGTTGGCATAGGTCTTGGTGCAAGGGATGAAATCGGGGGCCCTGTCCAATTCCGCCCCCCCCCCCCTTTATAGTCGGGTGGCTGGTAAAAACACGAAAACCACGTAATTTTTACGTACCGGTGAAAAATGGGAAAGACATACATTTTGGACCTCTGGAATATGTGTAATGAGAGAGCGTCATCTAATGGGCGGAAAGGGGTAACCGCATGGCCACCACCGGGTAGCGGGTAACCAATCCCAAGCGAGGATATATCTGGGCCAAAGGTAATGGCCGGAGTCAAAGGGGAACGTCCGGGAACCATCAGGAAGGTTCCACGAGGGGGCGTGGCTAGAGGCGGAGCTTAGCTCCGCCGAGAGGGATAGAAGCAGGGACATCGGAGGACTCAGGGTCGGTGTGTCGCTGCTCAAGCCTCTCCCCATCATCGACCACGTGGCAGAACCCAGCTAGGCTCGTCTCTTCTCCTGGCACAGCGCCAGGCAGCGGCAGGATCGGGGAGTGAGAAAGAGGCGGACCTCAACGGCGGAAACCAGCGAGGCTCGCCTCTCCTTCAGGCACGGCGCCAGCCAGCGGCAAGATCGGGGAGCGGGAGAGAGGCGAACAGAGAGAACGGCTCGTCCCCGGCCAAAGAGAGAGCAGGGAAACATACGGGGAGAGCGGGAGTGAGCTGTGCAAGAATTATATCAATAAAAGACGCCAGTCAAGATCGTCGTGGAAGTCGTTTATTATTCTACCAAGACTTTTAATGTGTGCAGAGAGGACCAATTACAATTCATACGAGTCAGAGGAACTCTTTGGTACAGGTATCTTCGTCTACAATACACCACACAACACCCATTGTTTAGAAATTTTCATTCAAATACTACATTCAGAAACTGCATATATAAGCTATTTTAGGTACATGCACTGGTTTGTAAATTATTTCATGAAGCAAAATGAGTAAATCCATGAAGCGTTTAAAACCTATGGGATACAATTAATGCAATACAAATCGATGTATATAGCAGTGTGCAACTATTTTAACTGTAAAAAATGATGTTTTACCTATTGCTATGATTATATTTCTGACATCATGTCCAGCCTACTTCATTTCGCCCCACCAAATTTTGTTAGTCGTACTTACATGATAAAATAATCAGTTTGTGGTTAACAACACCGCCAATGTATAAATTCGTGTTCTGTCCACATAAAATATGTCGTTTTCACATGTTAGATGTAGCATGCACAATTCTTTCACGGTTAATTCGCCATAATGTGGTTACATAACGTTCAGAGCGTTTTAAACAAGAATATACATTGCTACCAGCTTTCTGTTGCCTTGATCAAAATACTCTTCAAAAAAGGTTGATTCAGATTAGATTAAACAAGCTTGTGTTAATATTTCAGGAACCATTATGATGTAAATATCAATGAACCAGTATGTGTTAAGACGGCGATGACAATCTTGATGGTACAGTTCATCGCCCACAAGAATGTCCTTCCGAGTTTAATAACGGGCCATCACCTGCACATTGGAAATTCACATAAAATACAATATTATATTTTGAAATATTACTGACAACCAATATTACAAGACAGTAATGGCCATTTCTAAAAACAGGTATTAAGATGTTAAACACCAAACAGAAACCTTATACAAGGCATCATGTCTGCATTAACCACAATGTTTGTGGTCAGAATTCAAACAAAAAACATACTCTGATAATATATGCATTGTTTTTTAAACTGATTGAGCCACACCAGAGACAGCTTTCTTTTGAGCCTCGTCTCAAACGGTGGTAGATCAGAGGACGCCAAAAGGCGTACAGCACAAAAACATTGCACTATCAGAGTAATGAGAGCTTGGGGTGCGCATCTGGGACCTCCTTTGCCAGTACCAAAATGTGATAATAGGTTTTTACCCTTTTTTTGGCAATAACACAGGTGTTAAGATGTTAAAACACCAAACAGAAACCTTTTACAAGGAATCATGTCTGCATTAACCACAGTGCTTGTGGTCAGAATGCAAAAAAAACATACTCTGATCAACTAGATTTTAAGTTTTCGTGACTGCAGGGATCCATACTCTTTGGTTCTTTCGGTAAAGTCACGTAGGTATAAAATAAATTAAATCACGACGTTTCGGGCGCAACACAAGCGTCCATCATCAGGTGGGACAACCACAGCAAGAAACAATTGCTGAAGTGGGCAAAACCATCACGTTACCATGCATAGCAGGCGTTACCAAAAAGATTTCCAAAATCTTAAACAAACACAAGATCCAGGTCCGATTCAGTACAGTACACAAAATCCGTGATCTAATCCCATCTGTGAAGTATGTCATTCCTGACATGCAATATCCTGGAGTCGACAAACTAAGTTGCACCTGTGGTGGGTGTTACATTGGGGAAACGAAACAACATATCTCAGACCGTGTTCGCGAGCACAAGTCAGATATGAAACACGGCAGAACTAATACCTCCGCCGTGGCTGACCATTGCTATAATGCTGTGGGCTCTCATGTTTTTTTCCGAAACCAAGGTACTCTGCAAACCTTCGGGCTACTATCACAGGTTTGTTCATGAAGCCATCCAGACATATAAACATAACTTCAACCGAGAAGATGGATACAAATTGAGCAATCATTGGAAGGATGTTATTAACAAGGTAAAACCTTAACTGCTTTATGGTGTTGCCTTCATATCCGCATCTCCAGTCTTCTTCAGCCTCCCACTCTCAGCCCCGCTCACTCTCCCCCCCCCCCCCCCCCGGCATTTTGCCGTGCTCACCCTTTAATCCCTTCTAGCAGCGCTTCACTTGGCAGCGCTCCACTCCCCCTACCCAACACCCCCTCTCTATCTCTCCTCCCTGGCTCCTCCCCCTTCTCTAACCTATATAACCTTTTGTTACAGCAGCCCTTTTGCCCACTTCAGCAATTGTTTCCTGCTGTGATTGTCCCACCGGATGACGGACACTTGTGTTGCACCCGAAACGTCGTGATTTAATTTACTTTATTTTATACCTACGTGACTTTACCGAAAGAACCAAAGAGTATACTCTGATAATATATGCTTTGTCCTTGAAACTGATTTTTGTTTGCATTCTGACCACAAGCATTGTGGTTAATGCAGACATGATTCCTTGTAAAAGGTTTCAGTTTGGTGTTTTAACATCTTAACACCTGTTTTGTTGCCTGAAAAAAAGGGGAAAAACCTATTATCAGTGTAATATAATTTAAACAATACTAACCATTCTAGATATTAACCATTTCCTGCCACCCGAACAAAAATGTCAATTGCTGAACTGCCTGTGTGAAACCCAGATCAAACTTGAACAAGTGGGAACCCTAGCTTGAGGAGCTTCTTGATAAATTATACAGAGGGACGTGTGAAGAGGAGACTTTGGTTGGTGTATTTCAACTTCTTCATTTCGTTGTCACCGCTCGTACACCACAGCAATACTCGTTCAAACCAACCCCGTTTCCTCGTTTCACAGTCTATTTTAAACCTCCACTCTGCCCTTCTTCGCCAGTCACCCTTCTACAATTTCCCGCTCTTTAACAATCCGTTTCTCTTCACCAATTCGATCAGAGTGTCATCCACTCACCAATCTGATTGCGTGTCGTTCACGTCAGTGCTAACACCCCCGATCTCTATTCCTTGCCCGAGTGAGCTGTGTGTGCGTGACGTCAGTGACCCCTGACCTCCGATCCTTACTTGGTGTATCCCCCGTTTGCGTGATTGACATGTGCGGCGTGTGTGATGTTGAGTGCGGAAGGCATGCGTGCTGTTTGTGTGGTGCGAATGTGAGGTTGTACGAGACATCCTCTACACATGCATCTATTTGCTGTACTGCCATCTTATGTTCACCTCACAGCACCCAGTTTTAGTTCTGGATTAAGTCTGTATGAGCCACCAGCCACACATCGAAAGTACTGCATCATAAATGTATGCCACCTTGTTCAACAAATGATAAGAGATATTCGATTAAATATATGAATTTGCTGAGTGTACAAATGCTGTTTTAAAATATGTGTAACCGATGAACGTAGTATACGAGCTTGTGCGTAACAGCAGTGTGAATGTGCAGCTTACGTTTTGAATCCAGGGAATGTAAGCAGATATACGAGAGAAGACTGGAGGCTTAGATAATTTTTTACAATTCACTGCTGATATAAATGTAACAACGCCATGCACAGCCCATGAATTGTCACTCTTCCGACATAGTAGCGGTCCACCCCAATCACCCTTTGAACGAACGGAAAAGTCATTGTTAAACCATTATCCTGAACCACAGCTGAAGTTATGAGTAGACAAAAGTCTTACATCTGTCAGAATGTCAAATACTGTACTGTGTGAAAACTTTTGATGCACTTTGAGCAAAGTAATCCATGCACTGTACAACTTGGGCACATTATTTCTAAAACACTTTCACAACAAATCAGTAAATTGTTTACAAATTGTGACTCAAACAAGAAATGTTCTTACATCGCATGCACCGCTTGATCCATCACCAGCACATGTTGTGTTTGCAGGTAATTTAGAACCCCAAAATGCATCTGTTTTGCATTTGTTGTCGTCAATCACTGGTAGGGTGGCTTGCTGGAGCGTGCTGCTAAATAAACCATTGACTGAAATATATAGAGAAAATGACAAATAAAACTCAGTTTTACAATATCGCATTCATAAATATATTGTACAGTTTGTGGTCGAGTCGCAAGACGTTTTCCTTTTTTAAAAAGGCAGCATTCCACGAGAAGCTGCACCAAACACGGTAACGCATTCTAAGTTAAGGGAGGCGCAAGGGAATTCTAACATGATGTGGTGAAATCTCATAACAGCATTGTGCAAAGTTACGAATGTCTTCAAAGGTGCACACAGCTGCAGGGTTTCGGAAATCTGCAGCAGTGTCCACAAAGGTCAACAAAACAGATTAATGCAGGTGACCCCTCAACGCCTGGTCCTTGGTTATGTTGTCAGATCCTGCAACTGTTGTACAGTTACCAGTTGACCTCCAGAGACCACACCTTGGTCACCCACTTTTGGGTGTCCACTTCAGTGCCTCTCTTGATAGTTTGCCCTCCATCCTGATACTACTAATGTAATTAACCGTGGAAAGATGATAGTAATGTTAACGAGGCCAGTTTTTGGACAGTGTTATGACAATAATTTCTACAAAGTAATAGAGAAATCCCTCGCCAACCGCGGATTTGCCAACCGCAGTTTATTGTGTAGCGTGCTTAAATACGCGGCACACACTGTAGTCCGAGGGACAAACACGTGCGTGTATGCAACATGAGGCTGCACGGGCGAACAACCACCTCATTAGGGGGGGAAGCTGGTGCAAACAAGGTCGGTCCGGGGTTGCACGCTGACACCAGAGGTGTTGCCAGGGAAACGAGCGATAAGGGGTGATTGATGGTCAGACAGGCGCCAGCCGGTCTGGCCCTAAAGAGACACCAGGGTGGAGTTGGTTAATTGGAGAGGGGACATAAATACGGCCGTGAGAGCGTAGAGGAGTTTGTGTTGCTGGGGACCAAGGTGAAGACATCTCGCCACTGCCGCTCAAGCCAGGGATGGACCTCAACCCTCACGAGTCGCCGGGCGGGTGATGGTTGTTACCCCCGCCCAGATTAGGATGAGTGAGTGGGTTGTTCCACCTGATGAAGGATTCTTGTGTTGCGATCGAAACGTCATGATTGATTTCATTTTAATTTATTTTATTTCTACCTACGTGACTTTACCGAAAGAACCAAAGAGTATGGATTCCTGCAGTCACGAAAGCTTCAAATCAAGATTATCATGACGATTACTACATTGATTATATATGTTACTCATTGCACATTATAATCCTGTATTCCATATTTGTTTTGTGACTACCTAATGTATGTGTGGCCATCCTTGTTGTTGCGACCTACTTATTCTGGAGCCCCAGCCGATGGTGTAGCATGTGGTTGTCGATGACAGTTGCTCGTTGTCACTGGGAAGGCAGGCAATCCGTATTCCAGTGTCCTGCGGCACCGGTGCTGTCAGCTTAATCAATCCAACGTCTTTTCTATACACAATTAAAGGGTTCATATTGAGAATGAGAAAATCTGAGATAAGAATCAAGATATAAAACGTGTACACAATATAGTGGATTGGCTCCTAAAAAAACAAATAATGTATTATTTGTTAAACCTACACACTCGATTTTGTTTATTATCAAAAATGTAGGGTGGGAAATGGTAGCGTCGGGTTTTCGTGTCACCTTAAACATAATTAATACCGTCATCTAGGTGAATTTGATGTCATTAATTTAAATCCAGATATCAGCAGAGCTACCTTCCAATAATGACCCTTGAAAAGGTGAACAACCGGTTGAGTGTACCAATAAAACAGTTAATAACGAATAACTGGTGAACAATGGATCAACGTTCACGTCACGCCCCGTCAGTATCCGAGTCTGCCTGGGAAAATGAATGATCCTACAAGCAGACTAAATTCGAAAAGAAGCTTCGTGAGAAGAGCCTCAAAGAATTATAGTCAAAGTCCCAAAGCCGAGAACACACAGCACCAAGATCACATTTCAGTCAGACCAGCCCTACGAATCCTCCAACTTAATGTCGAAGGCATATCAGCAGCCAAGCACAGTCTCATTTAAGTCCTTGCTGCCCAACACCTGCCTGCAAGAAAACCACATTTGCCCAATCCATATACTCAGTGGAGGTCTACTCACCCTTAAATCAGCAGGACTAGAAAGCAACCGCTTAGCTTAATGACTTTGCATTTGTGGTGCCACAACCGCGGAGCAACTCCGCAAGCGCCGCGACTACCTCCCGGCCCCTGCACTAAACGCACACCCGCACATAGCGCACCCACGTATTGTCCTGGCACATCGGGTTTTAATCCGAAGGGCCCCTAGGGGGAGAGTTCCACGGTTTCCCGGTGCCAGGAGATTGGCCGACCCCCACAGGACAAGTTACATTGTGGTGCCCCTAAATTGGCTTAAAATTGTATTGGTGCAAAAGGAAAAGGTTCCCTGGGCCAACTGCAATGAGTTACACACAACATTTGGGGGAGGACGGAGGGTGGAATATTAGGCATAAAGAGCAGACCCTAAGACGCGAACTACTGGGTACAGGAGAACAATGGGTGGGCGGAGCGGCAGCGAGAGTATAAAGGTGGGAGCCCCGGGAGGATTGGAGCTGTTGTCTACAACCTCCGGGCCATCACGACCCACTCCCTGCCTGCCGTCCTGCCTCTTCAAGCCGCTCACAGCATCCGTGTGATGCCAGCGAGTGCTGCTGCGAGACAGTGATTGGGCAAGTTTTCTCTCGTCCTTCTCCCTCTGACTCTCTCAGCGTCCGTGGGACGCCGCGAGTCCAGTTTCAAGGTACGTGGTAGGACGTTTGAGTAGCTGGATTCATAGGCAGAGTTATGCTCGGCTCTCCTCGTGAAATATTCCTCCTCCGGGTAATGCATATTGGTGCCATTAATAAACTCTGGTACAGAATATTGGTGTAGTGTGATTTCTGTGTGTGTGGGCAGAACCTAGGCGTAGCATCTGTGATCTGTGTGTGGCACATCTGCGTAGAGAGACGATGTGCCCGGCATGAGCGCGAGCACAGGGCTGCAGCGTGGGGGTAGTGTGAGTGATTTGAGCGTGCGCGTGAGGCGCGTCTATTGCAGCACCATACGGCCGCCTTCGTTTGCGTGTGCCTGCGCTCGCGTGCGTGTTCCACGGGGGGGGGGGGGGGGGGGGAAATTAATACCAACCGCCGTTTCTGTTGATTAGCGCTCGGCGCGTGGGTTGACGTGGGCCACCTACAGGCCCCGGATCGTGTGCTGCACACTGCGAGTGGAGCTGGGATGGGACTGCTGGGGAGGGTCACCCTGGTGGTCCGTCTCGGACACCAGGTGTGTGACCAATAATTCTATGTTGGCGCTCAATGTACAGCCTCGCCAGCGACGTACCACCGTGGAAGGCAGCGGGGAACGGATTCCGTTTCTGGAGCAAGAGCCGGATCGCCTCTGCTTCACACCCGTGGCCGCTACCCTGGTGATGGCCGTCACCATCGGGCCTCTTGCGGAGATGCTGGTGCCGGTGGCAACACCCTCCACCGATCCCGCACACCGACCATTGGGTGAGGTAATGCTGACTCCTCACCCGGAGTTGGCGGCATGGTACAAGGTTGTGGGGTCAGCCACGCTAGCAGGAAACGCGTACGGGGGCCGACTGTTTATGCAGGTATTTACCCCCCACAGTACCCCAGCAACGCTGCGTCAGCGCACCACGGCAGCCACAGTGTATTCCCTGCATGCACGCCACTCTAACAGCTCAGTGTTTGCCCTCTGGGCTGAGGACCCCTGCCGCCCGAGGATAACCAGGGCCTGGCCTGGTGAGACGGACCGACTCCCAGAGCAGTGGTCGTCCCCCTGCTTGATGCGCTACAGGTACCCTGGGCAGATCTACCCAAGGGGGAGGCTGATCAGCTGCGAGGGTTACTGCGGGAGTACGCCGACGTGTTTAGTGAGCACGATTCGGATATGGGCCGGACAGACCTCGTTAAGCACCAAATTGACACAGGTGCAGCCCGACCCATTAAACTCCCCGCACACCAACCAAGTGGGCACACCCGAACGGGCCCAGATTAAAGAGGTGGTTGCGGATATGCTCCGCAATAACATAATCCAACCCTCAGCGAGCCCCTGATCTGCCCCAGTTGTACTGGTGACAAAAAAGGATGGGTCAACCCGGTTTGGCGTTGATTATCGAACGTTGAACGCAGTTACACTCGGCGACGCCTTCCCCATCCCCCGCATCGATGACACCTTTGACAGCCTGGCAGGCGCTCGGCATTTTTCCCCCCTCGATCTAGCGTCCGGGTACTGGCAGGTGGAGATGGCGAAGGAGGATCAGCCAAAGACCGCATTTACCACCCCGATGGGACTGTTCGAGTTCCGAGTGCTTCCGTTCGGACTCACGAACGCGCCTGCGACGTTCCAGCAGTTGATGGAGTTGGTGATGCAGGGCTTGCGTTGGGAATCAGTGCCTAATTTACCTGGATGACGTGATAGTGCTCAGTAGGTCCCTGTCTGAGTACTGGTCCAAGTTACGGGAGGTGTTCCAACGACTGTGAGCAGCTCATCTCAAGCTCAAGCTGCGTAAGTGTTATATTGCGCAGCGCGAAGTTGGGTACCTCAGACCCCACATTAGTGAGGCAGGGGTGCGCACCAACCCGGGAAATGTACGCGCCGTAGTGGAATGGCCACAGCCGAGGAACCTGACGGAGATCAGGTCATTCTTGGGGCTAGCCACTTATTATCATCGATTTGTGAAAGGATTCAGCGAGATTGCAGGCCCCCTCACCCAACTAATTTCCCCTAAGAACTCCTATCAGTGGATGGAGGCCTACCAGACGGCCTTCACCACCCTCAAGGACCACCTCACCCATACCCCCACCCTGGCTTTCCCTGACTTTTCCACAGATTTTATTTTGGACACCGATGCCTGCAGCAGTGGGTTGGGCGCTGTGTTGTCCCAGGTAAAGGATGGGATGGAGCGAGTCATCGTAATACCAGCCCGACTCTGAGAGGGGGCCAAACTGAATTATTGCGTGACCTGTCATGAACTGTATGACGTGATTTTCGTGTGTAAGCAGTTTCGGACGTATTTGTACGGCAGGAAATGTCGCGTGCGCACTGATCATTATGCTCTGCAGTTCCTCCTCATATTCAAGGAACCGCGGGGGCAGATGGCCCGGTGCCTGATGCAACTGCAGGAGTATAACCTGCAGATCGAGTACAGGACTGGACGGATGCACACAAACGCGGACGCATTGTCAAGGCGACCCGTGGTGCGCTCCGAGACACGGACTGAGGAGGCCTGCCCGTGCTTCACGGGGGGACGCTGCGGACAGGCGACGGCCCCCCTGAACGCCCTGAGACTAACCCCCCTCCATTGGGAGAGAGTGCCGTGTCTGCCACAGAGGTCCCTGTGGACGGAGCCGGGGGCCCGGTGGGCCGCCCAAGGGCCACAGAGCCCGTCCCCAGGGGCCCGACGGGCCGCTCAGCCCCGCCTGGTTGGATCCGAGAGGACGCCCGTTGTGCGTTCCCGGGCCTGGATGACGAGCAGCTGAGACAGGCCCAGCAGTGGGACCTGGACCTGGCGGCAGTGGAGGCGGCCTTACAGGAAGAAGAGGTCGCCCTACAGGGACCCAGGAGTGGTTTGTACGCCCGGTTGTGTGTAAGGGATGAGGTGGTGCGGGAACTAACCGAAGCCGGGCAGCCGGGGTGCATCTGTGTTCCCGCCCAGGTGCGGCCCTAGCTGCTACTGCTGGTGCACGACCACCCGCTCGGGGGCCATGATGGGGAACGGCGCACTCGGGAGACCCTGCGTCACCAGTATCTCTGACCCAAACTAGCGCAAGACGTGGCCGCCTGGGTACAGGGCTGCCGCGCTTGTCAACAATGTGGGCAGAAACCGGCGCAGTATCAGGTGCCCCTGAAGCCGTTCCGCATCAGCCGGGCAAACCAGCTAGTTGGGGTCTACCTACAGGGGCCATTCCTGCGATCGCACCGAGGCAACCAGTACATTCTCGTAGCGGTAGAGTATTTCACACGCTATCCAGTAGCAGTAGCCATCCCCGACAAGACGGCCCTTGTGGTCGCCTGGGCCTTTTTGGAGCATTACGTGCTTAAACATGGGATCCCCGAACGAGTCATTACACACCAGGGTAGTGAGTTCGAGGCAGAGCTCTTTCAGGCGCTGTATCGGGAGTTCGGGATCCAGAAGGACCGAACCACGACATACCACCCCCAGGCAAATGGTATGGTGGAGCGCATGAACCAGACCTTAGGAGGGAAGCTCAAACGCATGGCGGCCACCAATCAGCAGGACTGGGATGAACACCACCCCTAGACTCTGTTCGCCTACACCACCACGGTGCACACCTCCACGGGGCAGACCCCCATCCTAATGATGTTTAGTCGTGAGTCGCGCCTACCGGCAAATCTGTTGTTCGGCGTTCCCCCACCACAACCGGAGCCAGCCCATGGAGCACCTGATGGGGACCCAGAGAGGGGCCCATGGCTGGGCCTACCAACAGGGGTGGCCGCACACCAGCGGCAAGAGCAGGGCACCCATCCCAGTGTGGAGCACCCCTTCTACTCGGCGGGCTCTAAGGTATGGCTGCATACCCCACGCATAGAGGCTGGACAGGTGGGGAAGCTGATCACCTACTGGCACGGGCCCTGGACCGTGGTGCGGCAGATCTCCCTCTGGATGCTACTGATCCAGGGCGGGGAGAGGGGCCGAGAGACGGTAGTCAATGTCCTCCAACTGAAACCGTGGAGGGCGGCCCCGGCGGGGGAGACACCCACTCCTCGGGTGCCCTGAAACCCCGAAATCCCCACACCCCCCGTACCCGACGGCTTCGCGCCGTACATGGGCCCCACTGGGCCCCAGTTCCCAGCGGGCCCCGGCCTGGCAAGGAGGCGGCGGGCGCGGCGGCACTTAAACACCTCCGCCCCTAAAGTTCATTCCCCAGCCAGCGGACGCCGGAAAACGGGAGGAGCCTCTGGAATGGAGACGGAGACCACCGCATGAGCCTCGGACAGCGGAGCCACCACCCACGAAACCGGCAACGAGGGCCGGGCGAATCCCATGGACTCCGCGGTGCTACCTGGTTGAAGCGGCCTAGGCGAGGTGCTCTAGTCAACCCGGGATGGGGACGAACACCTCAGGTGGCTATGTGGTGCCACGACCGCGGAACAACTCCGCAAGCGCCGCGACTACCTCCCGGCCCCCGCACTAAACACAAACCCGCACGCAGCGCACCCACGTAGTGTCCTGGTGGGGGGTTGCCTGGCACATCGGGTTTTATTCCGAAGGGCCCCTAGCGGGAGAGTCCCATGGTTACCCGGTGCCAGGAGATTGGCCGACCCCCACAGAACAGGTGACATTGCGGTGCCCCTAAATTGGCTTAAAATTGTATTGGTGCAAAAAGAAAAGATTCCCTGGGCCAACCGCAATGAGTTACACACAACATTGAGGGGAGGACGGAGGGTGGAATATTAGGCATGAAGAGCAGACCCTAAGACGTGAACTACTGGGCTCAGGAGAACAATGGGTGGGCGGAGCGGCAGCGAGAGTATAAAGGTGGGAGCCTCGGGACGATTGGAGCAGTTGTCTACAACCTCCGGGCCATCACGACCCACTCCCTGCCTGCCGTCCTGCCTCTTCAAGCCGCTCACAGCATCCGTGTGATGCCAGCGAGTGCTGCTGCGAGACAGTGATTGGGCAAGTCTTCTCTCGTCCTTCTCCCTCTGACTCTCTCAGCGTCCGTGGGACGCCGCGAGTCCAGTTTCAAGGTACGTGGTAGGACGTTTGAGTAGCTGAGTTTATAGGCAGAGTTACGCTAGGCTCTCCTCGCGAAATGCGTATTGGCGCCATTAATAAACTCTAGTACAGGATATTGGTGCAGTGTGATTTCTGTGTGTGTGGGCAAAACCTCGCCGTAGCGTCTGTGATCTGTGAGTGGCTTGTCTGCGTCGAGAGACGGTGTGCTCAGCGTGAGAGTGAGTGCAGGGCTGCAGCGTGGGGGTGGTGTGATTTGAGCGTGCGCATGAGGCGCGTGTACTGCAGCACATACGGCCGCCGTCGTTTGCGTGTGCTTGCGCTCGCATGTTTGTTTACACAGCACGCTTTACGCAGCGCGTTTACACAGTATAAATAGCGTGAACGGTGAGGCATGCCCCATAGTCTAATCTCGGTGGTGGCAAAGCCAGCCGTTCAGGTATGTCCCTCAGAGAGGGCATTGGCTTGGGTGGGCCGATCACTCGATCGGCGGGGGCCCGGCGAGAGGCGGCCGAAGAGGAGGAGGGGAGAGTGGAGGGGGTGGACATCGTGCCCCCACACATTCGTTAAATAGAATAAATTTAATAACTATCAAGACCTAAATGTGACTTCCTGGCCAGAAACCAAAGGGGAAACAACATTCACATTTTTGCCTTGTAGGAGACGCACATTGAGGACAGGATGTAGATGGCAAACTACCAAATAAATGGTTACACCCTTGCTGATGCCATCTACCACCCTAATATCCTTGCCACCTTGCTTAGGCAAGGCTTAAAGGTACACCCCCTCAAGTATACCACAAGTGACGGCACATCTATATATATAAAAGGGAAGTTTGTGAATGTGTGTCTGTTCGAAATGTTTAGCATACTTCCCGACATGCAACAAACTTGAAATTTGGCATGTGGGTAGCTTCTAGACTGTACACAATGCAAAAAGTATAAAAATAGACTTTTGTATTTTGGGGGGCGGGGGGGCGCAATAATGGATATATTTTGCACGGCAAGTGAGCGGTGACGTCACATCTGTGATGTCACCCGCATGCGGCAGCGTTACGCAGTGTGCCTGCTGACGTCATGCAATACCCCCCCCCCCAACCCTCCGCGTAGGCCGTGTATCCCGCATCGCTGTCTCGACTTTCTAAGTCAACGCGACTATTTTCAGCTCGTTCTTAAATATAAAGCAGAAGATACATCTGTTTGTGTGAAGTAGCAAAAACTCTCGAACGCTGACCTCTGACGTAATGAAATTTGCACAGCTTATGCTGTCTGGAATTTCTAAGGGAACGCGACTATTTTCAGCTCGTCACGTCATTCCCTTCCCGAGTTGCCTGGTTAAGATTTAATTTCCTTGAGTGAAAAACATCCGATTTACTTAAATTGATTTGTTTCGGATTTTTTCGTTCTTGCATGCATACATTTTTTTCAGGGTTTTCCAGTGAAATATAAGGGAATATTAAATTCATCCAAGACAAGAATCCAAGTCTCGGGCGAAGCCGGGTAGTAAAGATTGTCGACGATAAATGTCACAGTCATGTGATGGTCATCGATGTATACATTACCACCACTGCCATTACCACCACTGCCAGCAGTCACTCACCCGGCTATATATGTGGGTGACTTCAATAGCAACCACACAAAATGGGTTTACTCATAAAAGATTGAAGCCACTGCATTTGTTTTGATGGGTCGCATGACACATGAAATTAGCAACCTGCACGTCCTTTGGATGTGACCATCCGTACCTCCAGCCACCCAACCAGCAAAACTTTTAATAATAAAGTAAACTATAAAAGTATCTGTGTTGAACCAGGTTCCTCCCCAACCCCAACGTCACCAGCACCCCCCTACCTCTTGCACGTGACAACCCTCAGGCCCCCCCTCCTACCCGCATGCGCCCCAGTCGCCCCCCCCCCCTCAACCCGTGTCCCCCTCCTCGCGCACCCCTTCCCACGAGCGGCCCCGCCCCCCCACTGCACGCCCCCACTCACTGCTGGCCACCCGCATGCCCCCTCCCCCTCTGCGAATGTGGGCGGCGCATGGCATGCCAGCCAGAAAAAAAACTTGTTCCTAATGCATTGTATGGGTGGTCATCCGATGATCATTTATCACCAAATCATGCAGTCATTTTTTGTGGGACAGACATAGACAGAAGTAAATGTGTAATACTTACTCAGAGCTGGTGTAGTTAAATCCGGAATGGTAAGCAGTTAAGTAGACTTCTGCAACACTTGCCCCAGCCTCCTGCTGGTATATATTGTGCTTGCCGAGCACTACTCGTAGATAATACGTCTGCCTGTGGATTTCACATAAACAACGCAACTCAAACAGCTTTAATTCCATTTAAGGGCTTCCAATTTTTAAATAAATAACAAAGTACCATTCATCCTTAGAAACAAAAGTATGGCTATATATAATACAAATCTACAACGTACATCTTTATACTTAACACAATAGCAGGTTTGTGATTATTAATATCTAAAAACTTGAATGCAAATGAATAACTTACTTGGCACAGCTGCCACTTGTGAGAACCCACTGTGGGGCGATGAGGGTTCCACTACAAGAGTGGTACCATGCGTTTGTCGTTGAATTGTAGTATTGCACAGAGACCTGTTATCGCATCAAGATACAATCGAGCAGTCAAAGTCTATAATCATTCAAAGATGCACGTTAGAATCTTTATTTCTACTGGAGAAATCTGATGAGCTATGAAGCTCTTTAAACAGATGTCCAATAGGGGCAGATCTGAACGTTACAACATTACACCTAACATGCATGCACCGATTTATTAATTAACTTAAATACTTATGCTCATGATACAGGCATCGAATCATGCACGAAATACAGTAATCTAAATAAAATGTACGCAAAAAGATGGAATCGTTTTTTTTATTATCAAACATTCTTCAGCAGCGGATTGGACATGGCTGATGATTATTAGTGGTGTGCAGACACAACTCTGCAAACGCCAGCAAACATAACATAATTATTTTAATAGGCTGACGTTATAGATGACTTTTCATGTGACAATGCGATATTAGTTTCCTTTTCTATTTGGCATTATTTTTTAGCTTTACTATACTATCAGTATTAATCAATATTACTGAGTGGTTCTTCCAATGTCTTAAACTGTAGTTCACTCAAAATAAACCTGTTACAAGCATTCTACAGTAATGAGTGGGAGATGGTAGTCTTCACGTGGGCCACCTGTTACGTGTTTTCGTATTACCTTAAACACAACTTATATCGTCATCTAGGTGAATTGGATAGCGTTAATTTGAATTTAGATAGGATTGGTTGAGCTAAATGCCAAAAAAGTCCATAAACCGAATGGTTGCTGTCTTAAAGTTTATCAACTGGATATTGAATTACTCAAGACCTAAATGTAACTTTCTGGTCTGAAACCTAAAGGAATACAGGTCGGTATCCAGTACAAAAATAATCAAATTAATGTAAATATTAAAACGATTGAATAGTTTAAAAGAAAAACAACCTTTTAAGGGAACTTGTCAAAAATACACGCATTTGAATGACTGGTAAAGTGTCACGGTATTGTAGGGATACCGTGACACTGTTTTCGGATGGATAACGCAGCCTTCCGGGTGCTGCTTATTGATCTTATGGCGTGTGCTGTGTGAAATTTCCTTAACACGAAAATTCGATAATGTTCATAGAAATTTTCCATAATTTGTTAATTCGTGGTCTGACGACGTTTCGACCGCAACACAAGCGATCGCTTGTGTTGTGGTCCAAACGTCGTGATTGATTTATTTTAATATAATTTTATGGTATATCTACATACGTGACTTTACCGAAAAAAACAATGAGTAATTTATGCAGTCACGAAAGCTGTAATTCTTTATTAACACACTTCTACGGGGAAGTTACCTTTACAATTCTGTCCTAAACGTTTTGCGCCCCTTGCTTTCTCCTACCCCTCCCACCTCCTCTGCTGCCGTGCCACCCGGTCCCTCCCCCTCACCTCTACTTCTATTTAAGGCCTCTGTCTGTTCATCCCTGCAGCCCTTTTTCTTTTTCCTTGCTTTCCTGTCCGCCTTTCCTCTCCTTGCCTCTTGGTGTCCCTGTATATGTATTTCTGCTGACTTGTACTCTGTCTATGCTGGTATGTTCAATCCAGAGGATGAACACGAAATTTAGCACTCTTCTGAAATTCGTGGTCTGCCAGGCAAGTGTCTAACTGTGTTGTTGGCCTGACTGGTTTTGCATCACTTAATTTTTTCTTAGGTTTGTTGAATTCTCGTCTCTCATCTTCTTGTTGTATTTACCTCCGTGCAGTTTGGCGCTCTCTATATGTTGCGTTGGTGTCGCCCTATATGCTCCCTCGCTATTTGTTTTTTACACCTGATGTAGATCGCTTGTGTTGTGGTCGAAACGTCATGATTGATTTATTTTAATATTATTTTATGGTATTTCTACATACGTGACTTTACCGAAAAAACCAATGAGCATAACCCAGAACTTATGCTTCATCTCAAAAGACAAGAATGGACAGCCACTAATTGCGTCATGAACAATTATAGGTACATTTGCAGACCCAACACAGACCGGCAGTCACGCACACTGGGCTACCGATACCGGTCATAACCTCAAAACTACATTCTCGTTGGAAAGTTCATGAGGCCAACTGGCCCAGCTATGAAGAAACCTGGAGCCAAAGCCTGTAATCTTCAATAAATTCATAAAAATTCTGACATTTGCCACGAGAGATTTCTCTCTTGGGAGGGAATCGGTAAAGATACATGCCATGTTGGCAATCAAAAATGTAACATCTCTTCAAAGAGTTCATTAAACAAGGTGAAAAAAACAAGGGCACCGCACTGCTAGTGTCCCTGAACTCTGCTGAAGAGAACGTTGGAAATACCTCACTGCAGATTTGGACTTTACTCACTCAAGCCATGAAGCCTGGTAACTCCTTTGGAACCTAGGTGACTCAACCAACAGAGCACAGACTACCAAACCCTAAATCAAATACGTTGGCTTCCCACACAATATCCTGCTCAAAGACACCAATGGACAATCGCACCAAACAGGGTGTCCAGAAACAACTCCCCATCACTTTGAGTCAACTACCAGAAGCAATAATCTAGTGAACGTACACTCACTGAAGTGGAAGGGGCCCTCGGGGCCATAAATTCTTAGCAAGGCATAGGGATGTGATGGCCTTTGTCCTGAGTTCCTAAAGAACCTGGGAATATATGGACCATCATAAACAAGACAGGTAATTTTTTGACTTAAAGTTTTCGTGACTGCAGGAATTCATATTCTTTGGGTCTCTCGGTAAAATCACGTAGATATGTTCAATTATAAAAAAAACCCACAACATTTCGATCACAACACAAGCGATCGTCATCAGGAGGAAACAAAAGACAGGTAATATCCGGAAATAAGGGAATTATTTCAGTTGTCCCCATTCTGAAACCCATAAACCTGCAAGACTCGCTCTCAAGCTCCAGGCCGATATCTCTCATGTCCTCCACTTCCAAGCTAATGGAACGTGCATGATTGCCTGATTTCCCCCCATTATTGACTCATAACTGCCTCTCGAACAAGCCGGATTTCGAAGTGACCGTAGCTGTTGTGAACAGAAGCTGGCATTCATCGTGAACAGAAAATCAATACAGCAATGATTGACCTCTGCAGCCTATGATACCGTTGGCAGCCAAAATCGAAGCCGTTCAACTGTACACCTAATTGACCCGATGGTCGGCAAATGTACTTTGAGGATACGCCTCACTGGTGAACACAGCCACGAGAGTTATGAACAATGGCCTTTCTCAAGGCTCTGTGCTAGCACCGCCACGATGCAATACATATGTAACCTGACATGTACATTTTCTTGCAAGTTTATATACATATATACACATGACAAACTTTAAACTAAACTTTGTTTTATTTAACCTTGCCACACAGGGCACAACTTTCGAGACCATTGTTAATTCTCTAACAGGCATATTTTCATTATTGGCGACTAATCAAATCCTTCCAAAACCACCAAAAGCGGACTCCACCTGAATAATTGTTCAGCAGATGCGACCCTTGATGCATCCTTTTGTGGTAACCCAGTGTACTATGATCCCACTCCAAGATATCTAGGGGTTATCATGGATATACGCCAAACCTTTGAGCCCCATACAGTATAAAACAAGATCTGTGAAAAGACAAATTAAAACATCGTATTGCTACAGAAATTTTCAGGAATGACCCCAGGCACCGGAAAATAGCTGTGAACTGCCGCCCTGTCACTAATCTACTCAGGTGCAGAGTATTGCACTCCAGCCTCGTCTGGGAGCTCATACACAAAACTGCTCGTTGTATAATTATCTACCACAATTGATATCATCACTGGAATTCTGAAACCAACACCAATCTCCTGGATCGCTCTTCTGGTGAACATTCTGCCACCAAATATCCACGGAGATATGGACACTACAGTAAATGGGTATTTACATGTTTTCTTTCAAACAACAACCTACCTATTGACCAAGACCTCAACAATGTACCTAGCTACCGACTCTAGTCCCGATCCCTCTTCTGGGTCGTGCTGTCACCATCCTAGAGTCTCATCCAGATTCGGAAGAACGCTGGCAAAGCGTGGAACGGTGCGGACATCCAGAAGAAACACCTTATTTGAGACTTAAACATGGCACCTCTTGGCTTTGAAACTCCTCGGAGACACTGGTGCAACCATTAACTGTATCATAATATCAACAGGCCGATGGACACATCTCCATGAATGGAATATCAAAGACAAGCCAAAGTGCGATTGTAACCATGCAACACTACACAAACTCCCTCTTGAAGCCCTCTCATGGCTAGCAGACCTCGACATTAGCATGCAGCTCAAGAACATATTGCCATATGCAAGTAAAACATCTACAGTCATTGTTGTACTGTCAGTTGCACAACATATATCAGCAATTAAAGGAGCCCAATTATTTATGCCACATAACTGCCAAGTGATAAATTAAACCAAAAAATATTTTGTAAAGTGCTCATTTAATTGGTAATCGTGATTTATTTCTGATCTGTAATGATTGTACTCTGTACATGTTATATTTAGACCTGGTCGATCCTGTGCAGGCAAACTACAAAACCTCACATAGCACATCGAAGATGGTTACCAACAGAAGATGATCACTGGTGCAGCGTTTGTTGATACGTCTGCTGCATATGACACTGTTCAACACCGTATCTTGAGCCACAAACTGTACCTCATAAATGGCGACCTAGACCTTAGCCAGACCATTCGTAGCCTCCTAGAGAACAGACGCATCTATGGTCAGAAAAGTAGATGGGGTTCCAGAAAGAATGGCTTACCACAAGGCAGTGTGCTCGCCCCGCTTTTATTCAATATCTACAATGATCAGCCACTTCCTGCTGAATTTCAGCGGTTCGTCTATGCTGACGACCTCTGTATTACCACACTACTGAGGAATTTCGAGAACACAGAGAAGATCCTGGAGAGGGGACTGGACAAGATGTCAAAATACTACCTAAATAATCAACTCAAACCCAACCCAAGTAAAACCCAAATCTGTGCCTTCCACCTATGAAACTGGGATGCAGAGCGACGCCTGAATGTCACTTGGGGAGACCAGAGCCTAGTGCACCAGAGTTACCCAGTGCACCTCGGGGTAACACTGGATCGCATACTCAGCTACGAAAAAACACACTTTAAATACCAAAGCCAAGGTCAACACACGAAACAGTATTCTGCAAAAGTTCGCAAATTCAAAGTGGGGTGCACATCTGTCCACTCTATGCACCACCGCCTTATCAGTTTGTTTCTATGTGGCTGAATATCCATGTTGTACCTGGGGATGCTCAACCCACAGCAAACATGTCGACACTGCCCTAAATGACACGTGCAGAATCCTAACAGGGTGCCTGAGAGCCACCTGTCC